TGGCCAGACGTGTCCATACTCATTGTTACGTTGTCCACGCATAGAGCTGTGTGACAGACCCAACCGGGACAGGGTATTTTGTAGGAGTCTGCAGGCTAGCCTCTTGCCTACTGTGTGACAGACCCAACCGGAACAGGGTCTTTTGGAGGAGACTGCAGGCTAGCCTCTTGCCTACTGTGTGACAGACCCAACCGGAACAGGGTCTTTTGGAGGAGACTGCAGGCTAGCCTCTTGCCTACTGTGTGACAGACCCAACCGGAACAGGGTCTTTTGGAGGAGACTGCAGGCTAGCCTCTTGCCTACCGTGTGACAGACCCAACCGTAACATGGTCTTTCGGAGGAGACTGCAGACTAGCCTCTTGCCTACCGTGTGACAGACCCAACCGGAACAGGGTCTTTTGGAGGAGACTGCAGGCTAGCCTCTTTCCTACCGTGTGACAGACCCAACCGGAACAGGGTCTTTTGGAGGAGACTGCAGGCTAGCCTCTTGCCTACCGTGTGACAGACCCAAGCGGAACAGGGTCTTTTGGAGGAGACTGCAGGCTAGCCTCTTGCCTACCGTGTGACAGACCCAAGCGGAACAGGGTCTTTTGGAGGAGACTGCAGGCTAGCCTCTTGCCTACTGACTATGGGTCCTGGCATTTGATGGGGCTCTATTCTGTATAAGGTGTGTGCTTGGGGGGCCTTTTGGAGTAGTTTTACTTCGGAATAAAGTCCTTGTCTCCCCAAAACACACAGACTCTGAGAACTGGAGGACCAGGATACAGATTTGGGGTCTTTGTGCCCAAACCAGCATCGACTGCTTCAACCCCCTGTGACGGGAGTCACTTTGGGTGGGGGGCCCATGAAACACAGCTCACTTTGGAGAGGTGTGGAGACCCCTGTCTCAGCTCCCCATATCCATATTATGTGTAAGTCACCCTGTGCCTGTTAGGGGTGCAGGGTGATCTGTCCTGATATTGTGTAGACATGTCTAGGAGATAGGTGGGGTTTGTTGATTGTTTAATGCCATGTGGTTGCATCCCATTGTTCTGTTGTGTGTCTTGCTTGGGAGCAAACTATTATAGGATGTATGTGTTTGTGTATTGGCTTGGTGGGGGGTGTTTCCGGCAGCCCTCCCTCCTGTTGGGACTGTCTGCTGGTGTGTCTCTTGTTACTAAAGGTAGATTGCCCCGCCCTGTGTCATTATGCAGGGGGGGGGGGATTGTTCCCTTGAATGTATATATCTTGTATCTCTGTTAAAATAAAGTAGTCTATTTCCTGGTTTTACTTCCAAGACTGGTGTCGTCTAGTCTTGTTTGGTCGGCTGTGGTGTCTGTGTGGTTGGTGTTTGGACGGGGAAGCGGTAGTCTAACGGAAGTACCCAAGTGCGGTCGGGGGTCTGGTTCCGTTACACCCCCCCCTCCTAGACTCAGAGACTCTAAGCAGATGTTAATATAATCAGCTCAAAACAACCTGATGCTGAGGTCTCTAGCTGTAATCTGTGTATTAAGGTGTGATGTGTTTACTGTTGTGTCTTTGTTAATTGTGTTAACTGAGTCACCTATTGATTCTGTCTGTTGGCTAGTCCTCCTGGAGGTTCCTACATGATGGGATTAGTCTGGTGTCAACAGTGTTACCTAATCAGTGTGGAATGTTTATCTCAATGTGTAATATTTGTTTTTCTTGTTCATGGGGAGACTGCCCCTATTTCTGAAATGTATAAAAAACCGGCACCTAAGCTAATGTTGTCTTGTTCGTGGGTGAAATGCCCATCTATAATACCTTGGTCCTGTGTCCCAGCGGCGAGGAGACAGTTGCCCGAATGCTTCCGTCAGAAAACTGTTTCCTCGCCATTGGGACACATGACCAAGTTATTATGCATGGTGCCAGGCGGTCTGTCACAAGCTTTATGTTGTCTACGCAGTATGTACACAAAGCCCTAAGTGTTCAACATATAAAACTCTAAGTGGTCCATATATACCAATCAGCCATAACAATATGACTACAAACATAAGCTGTTGAGGCATGGACTCCACTAGACAACTGAAGGTACGCTGTGGTATCTGGCACCACGCTGTCAGTAGCAGATCCTTTAAGTTGCAAGGTGGGGTCCCCAGATTGGACTTGTTTTTCCAGCATATCCTAGAGATGCTAGATTGGGTTGAGATCTAATGAATCGGGAGGCCAAGTCAACACTTTGACCTTGTTATTTTGTTCCTCACGCCATTCCTGAATTCATCAGACCAGGCCACCTTCTTCCATTTCTCTGTGTACCAGTTCTGATGCTCATGTGCTCATTGTAGGCACTTTTAGCTGTGGACACAGCTCAGCATGGGCACCAGGGGCATTTGCCTAGGACGGCATTTTTCAGGGGGCAACACTGCCCCTCAGAATAATGGACACATGCACCACGGCAGGGGCGGACTGACCATTTGGAAACTCAGGCACTGCCCGAGGGCCCAGGGTCAGTAGGGGGCCCCCATGAGATGCCCCTGGTACCTTTTTCATAGGCTTTTTTGAGTTTGGGCAAGGACACAGGGGCCCCATGATCCCCTATTGCCCGGGGGCCCCATGAGTTGTCAGTCCGCTCCTGCACCATGGGGACCTGGTGGGATCTCAGAGAGGCTGCTTGATGGTGTATGCAGACCCCAACTCTTGTTCTCAGGGATATCCAGAGCTGTGAAGGTGAAAGGGGGAAGGGGGGTGTTATATGTTAGTGAAAGGCTCTCTCGGATGAGGGGGGCAGGGGTGTTGGTCAATGTCAGGCTCTCTTCATGGGGGGAGAGGGGGGGTGGCGGTGGTGGTGTGGTGGTCGGTGTCAGGTTCTCAACCGGGGGGGCTCCTATTGTTGCCTAGGGCAGCAAAAAAACAAAATACATCACTGATGGGCACCCTAGCCAGTCTGCAGCTACATAGCCCCATACACAACAAACTGCGATGCTCTGTGTGTTTAAAAAGGATTAACTTTTTTCAGAAATCTGAGCTTCAGTAGGTATTCTATTGGATCGGACTACACAGGCCAGCCTTTGCTCCCCACATGCATCAATGAGCCTAAGCTACCCATGGCCCTGTTGCCGGTTGGCTGGCTTTCCTTCCTTTGACCACTTTTTGGTCAGTTCTGACCACTGTGGACCAGAAACATCCTACAAGAACTGCAGTTTTGGAGTTGCGCTGACCAAGTCATCTACCCATTACAATTTGTTCCTTGTCAAAGTCAATCAACTACTTACACTTGCCCATTTTTTCTGCTTTCGACATATGAACTTAAAGGACAACATGTTCACTTGGTGCTTAGTATATCCCACCCACTTTCAACTTCCATTGTAACAAGATGATCAATCTTGCTCACTTTACCTGTCAGTGGTCATAATGGTATGGCTGATCGGTGTATACATTTCTAAGTAGTCAATATATATTATTGGTGTGTATGCACAGTGTGTGTTTGTGCATATATATATATACACAGATTTAAACAAATTAAACAGTCTATGCGTTGTGGTGCTGTTCATCTTAAATGGCAACACAAAAGCACTAAGGCAATGCAGCTCTGAAAAATATAAATATAAATAAACAGCGCAAATTTAGATAATTAATCAATATAATAAATCATATAAAATAGGTGCATAAATTATTCGTGTTTGCCCTTAATCTTAAACAAAAACACCCAAAAGTCCATGTGCTGAAAACATAATTAAATTATAGAAATAAAAGTGCAAACTTCTTTTCTTCAGAAAATACTTTCACCTTCCACCCGTGCACAAACCAACATCGAATACACTCACCAGAACTTGCTGAGTAAAGGACCTTTAAGGAATTTTTAGGGATCCTAAACCCTCTTTGGTGCCACGCTAGGGAAAATCTTCACCCTCCGAATAGACTCCACCATCCAACCAAAAGAAAAAAACTCACATAGCATAATATTGTCACACAATAGTAACTTTTTCCAAATGGAGATTAAGGCCACTCACATGTTAAACACTTGCTAAAGGCATGTTTATTATGTATAAAAGGCTTCAGTTCCAGCAGATATACAGACTTTTCCTTCCAGGACTCTCACATCCACAGTGGAACAAAGACAGGACTCCTCTTAGACCAAACAGTGAACCAAGATGGCCGCTGGAACGCACCGCTCAGCGTGCGCTCCACTCACCGGAAATGACGTCAGGCGCATGGAGTGTGGACCGGAAATGCGTCACTTGCTGAAGACAAAACTGAAGGGAAAATGCCCCAAGAACAAGCAGAAACTGAAGACAGTTGCAGTAGAGGCCTGGCAGAGCATCACCAGGGATGAGACCCAGCGTCTGGTGATGTCTATGCGTTCCAGACTTCAGGCTGTATTTGACTGCAAAGGATTTGCAACCAAGTATTAAAAAGTGAAAGTTTGATTTATTATTATTATTCTGTCCCATTACTTTTGGTTCCTTAACAAGTGGGAGGCACATATGCAAACTGTTGTAATTCCTATGCCGTTCACCTGATTTGGATGTAAATGCCCTCAAATTAAAGCTGACAGTCTGCAGTTAAAGCACATCTTGTTCATTTCATTTCAAATCCATTGTGGTGGTGTATAGAGCCAAAAATGTTAAAATTGTGTCTATGTCCCAATATTTATGGACCTGACTGTAAATGCATTGCATGCACTACAACGAATATGAAAGCACCACCATGAGCTGCATCAGAAAAAATGAAATATGTCCTTTTTTTGGTCTGTTCCTGCGCATTGGAAGCCCGTTCGAAATCAAAGGGCTGCCTAAATGCAACATATATTAATGCGTGAAGCAACATGCACTGACGCAACCCTCAGGAAGGGACAAGTGTGAACTGACTCCAACAGTCCAAGCAAATAACTATTTGTAATATAAAATAGACTTTGTGAACCTAGAGAATGAAGAAACAAAACAAACTGTGAAAGGATGTTGAATCTGAATTTGGAGACGTGTGGGACATGTATTGGTGTGAAATGATCCCTGTGTTTCTCATTGCAGGACAATCTGAACTTACTGCTGACGGAGGAGGAGATGTACAGCCTGAACGAGACCTTCAGCCAGTGTAAAGTCATCCCAGGTGAGCCGAGATTCCAGTAAAGGTGAAGAGGAAGGAACGGGATGCAGACCTGCGTCTGTCTGCCAAGCTGCACCATCTTCGATGGTCATCCCTATCCTCTGCCACCTACAAGCACACTCTGCCTTTTTCTGTCTGGTTTCTCAAATCTCTCTGTAGGCTTCCTAACTGCCCTTTGTGTGCAATGGGAAATTTTAAAATACGTAGACTGAATTTAAAATATTTTTTCCATCAGTAGTAGGTCTTGTCATGGTCAGGGGGTCAGGCTCGGTAGCTGTAGCAGTAGAGACCGGCAGGAAAAGTACACGGGCAGGTCAACCTGCAATAGCTGGTATTCTCCAGAGCTCCTGATGGTGGAGATTGGTTTTGCTGCATGTTATTACCAGGTTGTGGTCCTCAGGATCGCCATGCCAGGAGATGAGGATAATCTAGGGCAGACCCTTTAGGTCTGATAGGAAAGTTAGGAGTGACCCCACTGTAAAAAATGTTTGTAAAAAGTGCATGGGGTTCCCCCTAAAAGCCATACCAGGCCTTTTAGGTCTGGTAGGACTTTTAAGGGGAACTCCATCACCACAAAATGGGGGGAAAAAATCATGGGGTCCCCCCTAATTCCTATCAAACCCTTGACCCAAGCAGGGCAGGAAAGGGTGGGTGGTGGTGGTGGGCGGGGGGAGTCTTACCAGGCATTGGGAAAGTGTTTTCATGCCGATGGGGACAGGGGGCCTCTTCCCCACAGCTCTGCCTCGGTGGTTGTGGGGTCTGCAGGCAGGGGAGCTCATTAGCATCAGGTTACCCATTTAAATAGGGGAGCACCCTGATGCTGCACCCCTCCTTGTGAATGAGTAAGGGTTACTTGTACCCCTACCTATTCACTAAAGGGCTACATTTGTAAAAAAATAGAGATCAGACTTTTGAAAATCCTTTACTGAAAGAATAAAATTCCTTTATTAAAATAGAAAAAAAAATGGTTCCATCATTGTAATCCATCATCAATCACGGCATCCAGTGTTGTCACGACGCCACTGACTTGCCGTAATAAAAAAAAACCTGATGCCCGCCGACTCGTTCGCACCCGCCAAGCACTCGCCGCAATCTGACATTTGCTGATCAGATGTAAACAATTGACATCACTGCTAGGTCCGCCCAATTGTGCTGTGATTGGCCAAAGCATCTCACCTGACCTGTAGTCAGGTGCATTGCTTTGGCCAATCACAATGCACTGTGAGAGCCCAGTGCATTGTTGGGCGCAGCGGGCGAACAGCCCACCGAACGCCCTTACTGAACGAATGGCTGATGTTCGAGTCGAACTTATGCTCAACTCGAACATCCAGCCCATCACTAGTGAGTAGGTGGCGTGCCATACATGTGGCAAAGTCTATGGTGTCAGAGCAAGCTGGCCGAAGAAACTATGGATTAGCAAGGACAGGTAAGTGTAGTATAAAGGATATTTTTCAAGTCTTCTGAAGTGGAAAAAGATAATTATTGTTGTAAGTCTTATCTCCGTTAAAGCGGTAGTGAAAAAAAAAAAAAGAGATTTCCCCCTGCCAGGTAATAATATAATCATCATAAAGTGCTGGTATGCCTGGTATCCATCTCATACTAGCACATTATGAAAGACTTACCTGGGAACGAAGCCCTCCTTTGGCGCGCTGTCCCCACTGCAGAGGCTTCCATCTTCACTCGGGTCTTCCTCCCTTTGGCCACTTGAACGGCCGAAGCCACGATGACGTTACTCCCGCGCATGCGCATGGGAGCTACGGCTGCGGCAAACATCTCTGAAGGAATGGCACAAGCATGCGCATGGGAGCTGCGGCTGCGGCTGCGGCAAACATCTCTGAAGGAATGGCACAAGCATGCGCATGGGAGCTGCGGCAAACATCTCTGAAGGAATGGCACAAGCATGCGCATGGGAGCTGCGGCTGCGGCAAACATCTCTGAAGGAATGGCACAAGCATGCGCATGGGAGCTGCGGCTGCGGCAAACATCTCTGAGGGAATGGCACAAGCATGCGCATGGGAGCTGCGGCAAACATCTCTGAAGGAATGGCACAAGCATGCACATGGGAGCTGCGGCTGCGGCAAACATCTCTGAAGGAATGGCACAAGCATGCGCATGGGAGCTGCGGCTGCGGCAAACATCTCTGAAGGAATGGCGCAAGCATGCGCATGGGAGCTACGGCTGCAGCAAACATCTCTGAAGGAATGGCGCAAGCATGCGCATGGGAGCTGCGGCTGCGGCAAACATCTCTGAAGGAATGGCACAAGCATGCGCATGGGAGCTGCGGCTGCGGCAAACATCTCTGAAGGAATGGCACAAGCATGCGCATGGGAGATACGGCTGCAGCAAACATCTCTGAAGGAATGGCGCAAGCATGCGCATGCGCTCGTGATGTCACTGGCTGCCGCTCGCTAGAACATCTCCTACAGTGCACATTTAGGAGATATTCATTTTTCCTACAGGCGGGGCTTTTTATCAGTGAGAATGCGGGGGAATGCAGTTCCGGCACCTCCAGCACTGAATGTATGTAATGGCAAAGGGTGCCGGGGTGTGCTGGAGGGTCTAATGATGCTGACTGCTGGGGGGATCTCCTGCTGAGGGAGGAGTCTTTTGTTGCTGGGGGAGTCTTAGGTTGCTCGGGGGTCAGTTGTTGCTGGGAGGGATCTCCTGTTGAGGGAGGAGTCTATTGTTGCTGGGGGAGTCTTAGGTTGCTCAGGGTCAGTTGTTGCTGGGAGGGATCTCCAGTTGAGGGAGGAGTCTATTGTTGCTGGGGGGTCTTATGTTGCTGGGGGGGGGGTCAGTTGCTGGGAGGGATCTCCTGTTGAGGGAGGAGTCTATTGTTGCTGGGGGGAGAGCTTTTGTTGCTGGGGGGGTCGGTTGTTGCCAGGAGGGATATCCTGTTGAGGAAGAAGTCTATTGTTGCTGGCTGCTGGGGGGCCTATTGATGCTGGCTGTTGAGAAATCTGTTGTTGTGGCGGGGGTCTATAATTACTGGGGTGGTATTTTGTTGTGGGGGGTCCATTGTTGCTGGGGGGTCAGTTGTTGCTGGGAGAGATCTCCTGTTGAGGGCAGGGGTGTATTTACCACAAGGCAAACAAGGCATTTGCCTAGGGCAGCATTTTTCAGGGGGGCAGCACTGCCCCTTGGAAGAAGGGACTGAAGAAGAGACACACGCGGCATGGGGACCTGGTGGGTTCCGAGAGAGGTTGCTGGTTTCATGACGGTGTATGCACAGCCTGACTCTCGTTCTTGGGGATGTCCAGAGCTGTGAAGGTGAGTGTCTTTCTCTCTCTCTTGCCATTGGGGATGGTGGGCTGGTGTATGGGGGGCAGTGGTAGTGGAAGGCTCAGGTGGAGGGCAGGGGTGTTCTTGGTCAATGTCAGACTCTGTCTGCAGGGGGGGAGGGGCACCAATTTTCTGTGTTGCCTAGGGCAGCACAAAACCCAAATACACCACTGGTTGAGGGAGGAGTCTATTGCTGTGGGGGGGGGGGGGGTCTTATGTTACTGGGGGTTCAATTGTTGGAAGGGACATCCTGTTGAAGCAGGAGTCTATTTTTGCTGGGGGGGAGTCTTAGATTGCTCGTGGGTCAGTTGTTGCTGGGAGGGATCTCCTGTTGAAGGAGGAGTCTATTGTTGCTGAGGGAGTCTTAGGTTGCTTGATGGTCAGTTGTTGCCGGGAGGGATCTCCTGTTGAGGGAGGAGTCTATTGTTGCTGAGGGAGTCTTAGGTTGCTTGATGGTCAGTTGTTGCCGGGAGGGATCTCCTGTTGAGGGAGGGGTCTATTGTTGCTGAGGGAGTCTTAGGTTGCTTGATGGTCAGTTGTTGCTGGGAGGGATCTACTGTTGAGGGAGAAGTCTATTGTTGCTGAGGGAGTCTTAGGTTGCTTGATGGTCAGTTGTTGCCGGGAGGGATCTCCTGTTGAGGGAGGGGGGTCTATTGTTGCTGAGGGAGTCTTAGGTTGCTTGGGGGTCAGTTGTTGCTGGGCAGGATCTCCTGTTGAGGGAAGGGTCTATTGTTGCTGGGGGGTCTTATGTTGCTACGAGGGATCTCCTGTTGAGGGAGGAATCTTATATTGCTGGGGGTTGCTGAGGGGGGGGGGTCAGTTGTTGCCGGGAGGGATCTCATGTTGAGGAAGGAGTCTATTGTTGCTGAGGGGGGGATCAGTTGTTGCCGGGAGGGATCTCATGTTGAGGAAGGAGTCTATTGATGCTGGCTGTTGGAGAGCCTATTGATGCTGGCTGCTGGTAGATCTGTTGTTGCTGTTGGGGGTCTATAATTTCTGGGCTGGTATTTTGTTGTGGGGGTCTATTTTGTGGTGGATCCATTGTTGCTGGCTGTAGGGGATCTACTGTATTTTACTGCTTTTCTTGTTATTATTAACACATTACTTACAAATTACTCAGCACCACAAAATACTTGTTTCTGAATTCCCTAAAAGGGGCGGTCCTGGGAGGTAGGCGGGGGGGTGGAACCATGGGATGGTACTCGGAGGTGGGCAAGGGGGGGGCAGCATACAAAATGACCACTTTAAAAGTAAAACTATACAAACAGGTTGGGAAGCAGCTGGTCTTTCTGGCCAAAGGGAATTGATAAAGGGGTCTTTTCTTTTCTTTCTTACCCCAGAGACAAAAGAGGAAGTGAGAGGAATATCTCCAAAGTAAGGCCCTTAGAATATCTTTATGGCTTCCCCTCAACTCTTGTTCTGCTGACAGCTGGAAAATGTTATCACTTTTTGTTGGATAATGGCCATCAAGACAAATATTGAAGATGAATGTTCCCAGTGGAGGCCACAGACCGCATTATAGACACAGAAGAAGGTCTAAACCTTCACTATTTTATTCACAACAATAAAACATTTAGGGGGATCCATTCTTCTGGTCTCACATATAGTACACAGGTGTGGTGGTGATCAGGAATCCTGTTGCTGTCTTGCACAAGTTTAATGGTCTGGTGACAATGGGACTGGTGTGGTGGTGATCAAGAACACTGTTGCTGGCTTCCACT